TTAAAAATGACTAATTGACTAAAGTAATTTAAAATAATAATTCAGAATGAGTTTAAATTATTTCCCGAAGCATATATTGATAATTTGTTGGCTAGGGCAATGTGAAATTTGGCAAAATAGCCACTAAATGATTGATTAACTTTCACCATTTAATTAAAAAGTAATTAATTAATGTTTTCTAATTATAAACAATAAATTTTAGCTAATTCCAATCGTCATGACTACACTTTCAAGTTCATTTTGTCGTCGTTGCTGCATTATCAAAGATCATATTGATAAAAAGCTGATTCGTTGCAATGTACCGATCATTCCTGATGATACAGTTGTTGATTTGCATAAACTTCCCTTGTAAGTACAGTATGAAAAAACAGCTTTAATTATTTTCATTTTATATTACTGTAAAAAATTTGTGAAAGTTACTTTTTTTCTTGAATATTTTCCTGTGTTTTACAGCAAATTTTATTGCTGTATTCCTGTATTTTATTTGCAAAATGCAAAATTTAAATTTTGAAGCAACTTTTTTGCTTTTTATATAAAATTATTGTTATATTATATAAATTACCTTTTAAATTTGTAACATTTTTAGGTCAGAGAAATTGGTCCCGAGTACGTATATTCTTTTGTTTCTATATTTTTTATAAAATTATCTGTAATGTGTAGAATTTCAGCTATTTAATATTATATTTCAATAGATAATATTTGATTTAACTTTTATAAGATTTATTTCAGTCATATTATATTAATTGGTTGAGAATATTTAAATAAAATTTTAATTATTACTATGGCAATTTGATATATAAGTTTGAGCCAAAAGTATACAAAATTTCTCTGTCTTTAGTAAATATTATTCATTATAAGTTATCTGATGAACAAATAATAAGACAACTGATAAAATACAATTGCTCATGATAAGTTAGTGAAACTGATATCTCTGTGTGATTTTATCACAAATATGATTTATGAAATCAATTTTGTTAAATTCTAATACAATTTGTTTTTTGATTTTAAACATAAGTAAAGATAATTTTTTTAAAACAAATTTTTACACAGAAACTAATAAATTTATAAATAATTTTTTGTATTAATAACCTTCATTCATAGCTTTGCTATGACCTTTAGGTTATTTTTGAAAAATGTAACAAAATTGGATAAAAAATAAAATTTGTTCTGTAGTGTTGATTAATATTAAGTAATATCGTAGAAAATAATCTTATTGCAAATATTTGACTAAAAGTACCTAAAACAAAATTTGTTTTTGTCTTAATTTAAAGAATTGAAAATGAGGATTAAAATGTTTTCTTCTATGAGAGCATTTTGAAGTATTAGAATTTAGAACAAAAAATAATTTTTAAATCTTTTCAAGAAATATATTTGGGGATGAGTTCATACTTAAAAATTATAGTACTTTGCTTTCAGATATTTTATTTTAAATTTCAAATTAATTTTATTATGTTTAAATAAAAGCAAAGTCATTCACAGGGAAACAAATTACAAAGCAACGAACTTCAATTTTTTTGGCTTAATAAAATGAAATTATAACTTTTTTTACGAATATAACTTTTTCTTTAATTAATAATTGAAAATGGTATACTACTAGTGTATTACTCCTGATTACGAAGTATTATTAACTGTAATTTTCAGAAGCTAGATGTAAGACAAATACCGATAACTCAGATTTGAAGCCGAAAAAACAGCGTTTAATGAAGACATTTCGTGAAAAAATGAAGCATAAATCGGTTAGAAGTGAAGGAGAATCATCGAAATCCGTCCGATCACCGAGCAAAGTGTAGGAAGTACATGACTTCCAGAACAAGAACACCATACCAAGAAAACATGTCTTCACACATTTTGAATTCTATTATTAATTCAAATCGTTAAAGTTTATAATTTTTACAAGCAATTTTCTGAACTGACATAAGTAACAATTACTATAAAAATTTTTGATCTTTTTTACAATGATAATAATAAGTAATATTCATTCTTTGCTAATAAATTAATTCAAGGCATTATGCATGGAATAAGAATGTCCGGAAAAAAATAAAGTAAATATTGAAGTAAAGAGCTAAATTTTACAATTTAGTGAAAAATGAAAAATTTTTACTCACAAAATAAAAATTTGTGGTATTTTAGAGGAAATTTGTAGTTGTGAAATTAGTATTACTAAAAATCATACCAAAAAAAAAATTTTTTTTAATCAGCAAAATTTATAGCAAATAATTTATTAATTCTTCGATATGCCAAAATTAATTAACATAATTTACTTTACAGTTAGAAGTTAGAAGGCTTATTTCAGCAGTAATTTTCTGAAAAGGATTGATTAGATGATATGAATTTGAATGTTTAATTTTTAATAAACGATTATGCATACCATTTTAAGCTTATTGCTACCGATTTATTGAAAAAATCAAATTTTTTTGAATAATATACTTCGATCTCATATACATTAATGGAATTTTTAAAACGGATAAGTAAGTATTCTGAAGGAAAGTAAACGATACAGTTATCAAAATCCGCCCTGTTTGTTGAAAAAAAATGCTTAAAACTTTAAGTTTTTCAAATTTACTTACTCTCTCTTTTATTAAACACATAAAGTTTTATGCCTTTTAAATTTAATTGTTGGCTTTTTGTTTTATTCAACTAGCAATAATAAGTTGAAATATTTTGGAAATGTTAGAATTTTGCTATAAAAAATTTGCTAGTCAAATAGATGAAAAATTTTTAGAAATGAAAATAATATCTACAAATCTAGAATCAATAAAAAAATTTTTGCAGAAAAAGTTTAAAAGTTTTATTAAAATTTTCAAAGCTGTTAAACACTTTAATAGCAAATATTATGAGACATGCAAATAAGATTCATAATTTGCTTCAAACTCAGTAACGAGACGTCTTGAACACGTTACAAAAATGTGATCAAAGGAGGACTGATCACCAAATCAAAATTAAATTCAGTAAAGCATTAGATCTATCATGTAGTGATATCCCATTTGATTATAAGCTAACAGAAAGGCAAAAAATTGACCTTATAAAGTAATAGATAAGATTTGAAGTAGAATTATCGCGCAAGAAAAAAAATCTGGGAAATTTGTTTAAAGTTTTTAGTCGTACAAATGTACAAATTTCTGGAATCTTTGTATATAATGAACAAAACCTGTAATTTTAAAGTACACTAATATGCTTGAGGAATTATTTGTTAACATTTAAAACTTTCAAAAGTTGCAAATGCAAGGAGTGAAATGCGTAGTCATTGAAATATTCTGATCAAAATTATTAAATTTATTAATAAATAAGTTCTAACACAAGTACTTACTGTGATATTTTACTAAAGTAATATTCGATATTCATATTTGTACTAATTTGCAAAAAAATTTTTTAATGAAGTCAAAGGTTATTAATAATTTAATTATCCTGTTTCTGAATATTTACTAACTTTGCTTACTACAAACAACTTTTTTTATCCAACATCTTTTGAAGAAGTGAGTAGTTAAAAAATGATCAAATTTCAAAAAAAATATTTACAGGTAATATTTATTTCAGTTTTTGGTCAATTTAATTTGAGTAGGTCAATGTATTTACAAAAAATAGTTTGTTAATGTATCTCTATAATCCTTTTTGTTTGTATCCTGCAATTTTCTGACTAAAAAATCATTATTATTATTATTATTATTATTTTCATTATCACTAGTATTTAAAATTAAGTGATTGAAGAAATAAATATTTCAATAACTTATGTAAACGAATTACTGAAAAGTTTTCGATCAAAAAAAAATTTTGTAGGCAATAATTTGCAATTTATTCAAATTACATGAACGACAAATAATAAAATTATGTTGTATCACAACAATGCAAGCATATTGGCTTGCTGTCATTTTTTTGAGCTGTTGAATTTAATTTATTTTGAAAATTAAATTGGGTATGTCAAGTAATGTAAGTTATACGGTAATATTAAAATTCTGTAACTAATACTTAATAAATAGTTAATATTCGGTGATCTGATAATTTTTTTATATTCAATTTTTCTTAGTTAAATTTAATTTGCTAGCTTAACAACTTAGTGAATTAATTTTAAAAAGTGAATGCAAATGATAATATTTTTTGTTTTTCTTTTTTGTAAGACAAATTTTTAAATTTAATTTTATCAAAAATTTGATTAAATGATAATTTCAGATGACCTGTTTGGATGCATCAAATGCAATCGCTCTATGGACAGTATTATTCTTAATCACACCAAATATCTTTAACTGTGCTTCTATACTGCTCATTATTTCCATCGCTTTGAAAATCAAAAAGTTTAAAAGTTTAAAAGAAGATATCGCTAGCAAGTTGTCAATTTTTTTTGGCTTTTTTAATTTGAATTAATTAATTTTTAATTTGACAAAAATTTTATCAAAATTTGTAAACTTTCAAAGTTGAAAAATAAGATAAAATAAGCCAACTTTATAACTCATCGTAAATTGTTTTAATATCATAGTAATACTTATTAAATTCTTTTATTCATTATTTAAAAAACGAATAATAGTTATAAATTTAACAACAAATGCATTTGGGATAAATTGCTACTCAAATACATTAATTAAAATATATTGATTTAAAATAAATTCATTTAAATATATTTACTAAAATATTTAGCAAAAGCAGTAAGTATATTGTAGCACAAATTGGCTTGCTCGAACAGCAAGACGAGTAAGTTTTGGACCTACGGCAAAATTAGCATTATTAAATTATGCTGGTAAAACAGCTGAAATTAATCGACATATACAAATTGTACCATTGCCAGCCGTGAAACCTCAGGCATTTCAAGCGATTATTGATAGTAGCACGATGTATGACAGTAAACCTATGCCTAGTACTGTCACGAATCAGTCTAACTTGTAATTTTAATGAACTTATTTTTATTCGTTAGTTGATTATTTGCTTCTTATTTAACTACTTCACATGAGTACTAATCACAAATGCTGCTTAGAAACTGAATACAAGCAATATAAAACTCTGACTTTCAAATTGATAGCTTAAATAAATATGTGATTCTGAACAAATATTTCAGAAACACTTCGATTCAAGTATCAGAATCCATCCCTTAGCAACTAATGACATGAAAAATAGCAAGAAACAATGAAAAGGATTCGTTGTTAAAAATTCAATGATAAGTCAAATTTTTGGAGTATCTAATTATATAAACTTAAAACCAATTTCGAATATTTATAATATTTCAATAATCTATCTTTTTTTTGAAGGAAAATTATGCTTAATCTATTTGAATAAATTTATTTGAATATATTATCTGAACAAAAATATTAAACTTATTTTGTTGTTAAGAAAAGCTTTAATTTTTCTTAATTTTCAAACTATTTAAAATTTATGCAAAAGTAAGCTCTGCTAAATTAACTAAAAATAACATAGCATTATTGTAACTATGTTAAAATCAAGCAGTGCATGAAAAAATACTGTAGAAAAAATTGGAAATCAAAAATGTGAAACAATAAGTATCATTTTTATCAATTAATAAAATATTTAGATATTAAGAAGAATTTAAAGCTACAAAAACGTTCTAAAGTATTCCAAATATTTTACGCATAATTTTATTTGATAATTTGAAATTTTTTAAGATAGCATTTCATTCTGCTTGAATTACTTTAAATCTTTTAGCATAAGCTATATTTTGCTTACTTCAAATTATTTCAAAAATATATTTTTCAAATGGAAAAAACATAAAATTTGGTAAATAAAACTATTTAATAAGTGTATTTTGCGTATGTTATTTTAATCAGTGTTTTTAAAGGTAGTAAAAAATTTTTTATGCATTATTTATTTACATTCTTGGAACAAAATTTGCGCAAAAATCTTTTTTAAAAATGTAAAATTAATCAAATATTCAAAAAATGTGAAATAAATAAATAAATTCTTTCAAAGTTTTCTAATATCAAATTATTCAAATTATAACAATATTTGCCCGTTTGTTTGATTTATAAATTTGTATAAAATTTTTCAACTTTATCATTTTAATACAAATTTTAGTATTCATCAAAAAAAAGTTTCATCAGTTAATAAATTTCGAATTATTAATCCTCTTTGACCCTAAATTTATTCCAATAATTTTATATCATCAAAAGATATTATATAAATTTACGTGATGCTATTAATTTTTACTTTAAAAAGTTTTAAATTCGAGTTTGAAAAAATTTTTTTAATAAATATTGTCAGAAAAATTGATTATTCATATTGTATTTTGATAATAATTGTATAAATGACAACATTTTCAATAACATTTAATAACTTAAATACTAATAGATTCTTCATCCAAATCGATTACTGTTTCTATTGTTGGTGAATTGCTTACATCAATCCTGAAAGCATCTACAAAATGCTGCAAAAAGTTCTATAGAATTAAACGTTTTTTTTTGTAAAACGTAAATTTGGTAGAAAAAAATTTTTTTATAGTATTGCAACTTGCATTTGAACTCACATTTTGATTGTATGCGATGAAAGTGAATGATTAACTGTTGAAGTAGTAGGTAATGATGCTTCATTATCAGTAGTTTCCCACCTGAGATATCGGGTTTCACCAGGCAAAATCAGATAGCAACCTCCATTACTACCCATGTAAATCATAAAAATCGAAAGAAGTAGCAAGATGAACAGACTGACCAGTAAAAAGATGGATTCTGATGTCATTCCAGATGTTATTAATGATGCATTTATAGCCACTATAAATTCATTTTTGATTTTGCTATTACAACTCATTATTATTTTAGTTAATCAATACTTTTATACTTATACTTAATAACTTTAAATAATTTTACAACTATATGTAATAAAATTTGCAAAAACTTGCAATGGCAGTAGATTCCTTGAAAACCATAAGCACATGCACAACGATATTGCTTTGGTGCTTCTTGTATACACCGGCCATTATTAAGGCAAATTGCTTCACTGCACGATGGAAAAACGCATAAAATAATCAAAATATAATTAATAATTAAATTAATAATTTAATTTAATAAAGAAATTACAATATAATACACTTTCTACAAAAATTATGTAATTCTTTTTTTTTAATACTTTAATTAATGACCAAGTAAAAGTTCTGTAAACGACTTAATTTACCGATTAAATTATCCGCAATGCAAGTTGCAATACCATTCTGTACAGTACATACTGTTTTATTTCTACAGTTAATAGCTTTGCAGTAATTTGAAATCTATAAAAAAGCTTCATAAATACCTCTGACAAATAAGTTCTGACAATAAGTAATCATTTGTAATTGCAATTTTATAACTGTTACAGATTAAATCATAAGAAATTATAATTTTAAATATTTATCTTTAAAATTTAAAAAAAAAAATTACTTTATATTGGCAATAACTGCCAGTATATTCATTCTGACAAATACATTTGTAAGTAGCAGTAGTTGTATTGATAGGAACACATATAGCATCATTCCAACATGGATAAGTCTCGCAAATATTACCTTCTAAGAATTATTATTAAATAATTATTAAATATATAAGAATTATTAAAAATAATTGACAGCTAAAATAGTAAAAAGCTTACAAAAATTTAAGCTTGTTGAATAAAAATTGCATATAAAACGTATTAATCACAAATTTATACCTTTTGTTAATTTACAATACTTGTATTAAATAATTGTATTTTGATAAAATGCTTTTAATTAAAATTGTAAATTGTGGTACTGAAAAAAAAACTTTGCATTGATTTAACTCTTATGAACTTTTAATAATCCCTTCAAGATATCTTCAATTCAATTTGTTCTTGCACAAAAACAGTAACTTAATTTTGAATTTGAATAAATTTGTTTAGCAGTGAAAAAAGTTATAAGGCTTAAAATGGAATATGCTTGTTTATTGTTATTACAAAATTTGTTTATTTTTTCAAAAAAAATACAAATTAAAAATCTGAATAACTTCAGATATTATGAATGCATTAGTTTTTTAATATTTTATAAAAATAGAACAAATCTAATTTTTACATTTTCCAACGAAAATACAAAAGTATACAATTAATGAGTCTGTATCACAAATGACCCAAATTTGCAAATTATTCTTGATATTAAATATTGAAAAAGTTACTATCTTAAAGTATTATTTCATCCTGATTGTGCTTTATTTTAATAAATGCCTACAATTGACTGTTGTAAAACTTTTAAAAATTTAATAAAGTTTTAAAAAACAATTTGATTTTCATAAAAATAAAACTCAGATCTAATTTTACATTTTCCAACGAAAATACAAACTCATTAAAAGTATACAATTAATGAGTTTGTATCACAAATGACCCAAATCAACTTTCCTTCTAATATCACGCAGTCTGCTTACTAAATTATCTTTAGTAACTTTACATGCAATAATAATAGATTATTAGACAATTTTGATATTTTCATTAAGTTGTACTGCTTAGCTTAAGTAGCAATATTATAAAAACATAAATAACTTAATTAGAAAATCCACAAAATCTTGTATTGATTCATAATTATTTTAATGAAACAGTGCACAAATAACATTCTCAAGTTACGAACCGTAAACAACACGTGAAGATACGCCATCGACAAGTGCTCGCCTAATATCTGCTTGTGCAGCATTTCCGCTGCTTGAAGTATTCATTTGACGTCAAAAGTCTTCTTCACTGCTATTTTTTGTCATGTCTGAAGTCTTGTATAAATAAATTATCAAAAGCCAAAATATGATTAAGCTCTTCAAGTTTATATTTTGCTATTATAAAAATGACGGAAAAAACGCATTTTTATCAATTTGTTAACAAAATAATTTCATACAAATCAGTTAATCAGTTAAATATGTATTTTATTTTTTAAAAAAAAGAAAGCTGAAAGTTATTTCTTTAGTAATCATCAATAGCCAGCCATATTACTAAGTTAATATTTACTTTAAAAGTTTTATTAAAATTAAAGGAATAAAGTTAAATCGAGCAAATAAGTTTTAATAATAAAATAAATTAGTACATGGCATGGTTACTTTACAAAGACTTACAGCTAGCTATTTTACATATTCTTGAAAATGTAAAAAAATAAAAAAACTAACTTCCTTTTTCAGAGATGATTAGTTTAAGACATAAGTCTTCACTCTAGCCTAGCAGCAAAATGAAAAGTTTGTTTGAAAGTAGACTAAGCAAAAACTTTTTCTTGCCTTGGCTGGGCTAATTATACCACTGTTCTTCAATTCATTTTTCTTGTCTAATAGATTTTAAATTAAAATTTTTGTATTATTTCAAATTTTCTTTGTTTTTGTTATTATTTATAAAATAGAAATGAATAATAATCTTTGCTATTCAATCGAAATTAGCACTTGCATGAATTTAACTTTTTAGCAATGAAAATAGAATAAATATAAATAATTTGAAAGTATAAAGTTTTTTTAATTAATATTTTTAAATTTAAATGTCAAAATTTTTATATTTTAAGTTGGCTATTGACAATATTATCTTTTCAAATTTTACGCTTTACCGATTTAAATTTAAATTTGTGCAATTAAAGCGCATTTTGAGATTTTTTAAGCATCAGTAATTTTAATCACAATCGTTGTATCATAATTGCAACATTAATGACCATAAAACTGAAAAATAATTGTTGACATTAAAAATAATCAGTAAATACTAGCAATTTATTCAGCAATAATGAATGTTAATTTAGTTTTACTGCTTTAGAACTTAATTACTTAATAAATGTGCACAGAAAATATTTTAAATGAATACTTTAAATAGTTTTAAAAATTTTTTTATATTTAAAAAAGCGTTTAATGAAAAGTAAGTTAAGTTGAGTTTAAAGTTTAAGTTAGTTTACAAGTTTTTTGAGCTGTTTTTTATAATTTAAATAAAAATAAAAAATTTGATTGCTTTAAAAAACGAAAAGTATCATAAAACTTTCTCAACAAATAAAAAACGAAAAAATAAAATAAAAATTAAACAAGCAAAAAACTTACGAATAATACTTTTTTTAGCACGAAGATGTAAAAATTATCATCCAAAGTAAGTAATTTCTAACGCAAAAAAATGATTGTTTTTCTAATATTTATGAAGTCTTTACTTGTATTAAAAAAATTTAATATTTTTAAATTAATATTTTTGACTTAATATTTACTTCGTTAATTAATGAAAGCTCAAAAAGAAAATGTGGATAAATTATTGCTAAAAACTTGGCAATTTTATTTATATTGAAGCTATTAGTTAGTTTATTGCCTAACGCCTAAATTAAACTTTTAAAAATTACTTTTTTTCGCCATATTATTGCAAGTACACTAAACTAATCTTGGAAATACTTTTACTGTAAAACTTTAATTTCTGTGCTTTTAAAGGATTCAAATTTTTATACTTAATATTGCTGTGAGTAAAAATTTTTAAAAATAATGTTATTCAAAAAAATTATGCCATAGTTTAAAAAATTACATATTATTAGACTTTTTCTCGATTCTCAAGCATAAATTGCTAAGAAATAAGCACTAATTAGATAGGATAAAAATCAGTTAGCTAGCAATTTTATTTTAATTTTTCATATTTTTTATAATTCAATTGACTTTTTTCTTTTATGCGTATTTTTCATCATTTTTCACTATAATAAATTATTATAATGATTTTTTCTTCTATTCGTATGAAAAGTTTAAAAAGTAACAAAAATAAATGAATAGTAAAATGAGCGAAAATCAAAAATGCATCAAAAGTTTAATTAAATACTGCATTGAATTTTGAAAATATTCAAATACAAATAACAAAATAAACTTTGTGACATAAATTTCACAGCATAAAGTTAATTAATCAAAATATTAATATTAATTTATAATTAATTTTTTACTACAAAAATTGTTAAATTAAAATTATAAGAGAAATTTACTAAAATACAAATTTACTAATATAGCGCATTTATCAAAAATTTTCGCACTGATGTATTAGACTATATAAAAATTAGATAGCACTTAAATTAGCTAACTTTGCTTCTTTTAACTTTTTGTTACAAAGTTTATCTATAAAATACTAAAATATTCATGAAAGGCATTAAAACGGAATTAGCTTTTTGCTTCGTTTAAAAAA